CTTGGCTCACAAGGGAGTCATTTTAACTAAGGGAGGAATTTCAGCCGTAAGTATAAATCATAAATTATAATGGTGAAACAAAAAAAATAGCCAGATAACAATTGAAAATAGAGGACAAATTGAACAGACAGGGGATCCCAAAGAGAATGATGTGTGTTGGGGCTCTGAGAATGTCTGGGTCAAAAGTATTCTGGTTTGGAGACAGGGACGGAAACAATAATGTCACCATGGGTAGAAAAGTGGCAAGTATATGCTTGGAAGATTGAGGTGTAGGAGAGGTACGAGGAAGAGCTCATGTTTGAGCGTGTAGTTCGATAGCTAGCCTCAAGTAGGGAGGTAGTTAGATACATGATTAAACAGCAACAAAGGGCATCTTTACCAGTTTTGTTCTCGCTATTTTGAGGGAAAGATTGCTTGCTATGTTTCTGAGAAAGTAGAGGAGAAGAACAGTGGGGATGGAATTAAAAAAAAAAAAAAAAAAAAACAGAAAAAAAAATAACACAGAGAGGACCTTTATTTGCCGTCTCCACAAAAGCAAAAATGTGACTTTTTTTTTTTTTTTTTTTTTTTTTTTTGAGCAGCTGCCTCACTGATGAGGCACTAAAGGGGAGGAGATCTCTTGTTTCCAGTTCAGGATTGGGTTTCTGATTCCTTTTCACTCCTAGTAGCCCCTTGTGTCTTAGTGGCATTATTGCCTTGCTTGGGGTGACTGGTTTGGTTTATGGCATATACTTCAATGGGTTATTTAATGCTGACAAGATTTTTATTGCAGGTAATATTTAATTTTTCAGAAATTTATTGCTGGTAGTATTTAATTTTTCAGAAATGTATTGCTGGTAGTATTTAATTTTTCAGAAATGTATTGCTGGTAGTATTTAATTTTTCAGAAATGTATTGCTGGTAATATTTAATTTTTCAGAAATGTATTGCTGATAATATTTAATTTTTCAGAAATGTATTGCTGGTAGTATTTAATTTTTCAGAAATGTATTGCTGGTAATATTTAATTTTTCAGAAATGTATTGCTGGTAATATTTAATTTTTCAGAAATGTATTGCTGGTAATATTTAATTTTTCAGAAATGTATTGCTGGTAATATTTTTCCAAAAAAATTTGCCAGTAATAATGCATTGCTGATAATAATTTTTTCTTCAAAAATTAATTGCTGGTAATAAAACCTATTTTTACACATTTTGAGCTTGGTTTGGGAGGGTTAACTATTTACCCATAGCCGGGACCCTAACAGGTGCTACCATGCTCCTCAAAACCTCCTGATCAGAGGCCTTGCTGTTGGATGCAGTTATCGTCTTACCCAGGATGTCTGCATGGAGTGAATTGATTAAGAAAACAAAAAGTATGATTACAAAAACTCAATATAACATTCTGAGAAAATGAGGAAGGAAGGCACAGAGAATTTGATACACACAGGACATATCAAAGGCCAAAGGGACAGGAAAATGTAGTGGGCTACTTACCTGATGATCTTATTTAAATGGATGAAAAAATGGGGGACTTGGCAAAAGAATAAATGTTACTATGACCACAAGAGATAAGAGATTGTGGAGAGCTATGATCACTCACATCCTGAAGGGACAGGATACCTTGTAGTATGTTGTCTACCTCAGTATTTGAGTCAGGAGTCTTCCTCAAGTAAAGTGTTCTAACAAGATTGAAGTGAAAAAAACAAAAACAGGTGTGGACACTCAAGAAACAGAATACTCACGGCCAGAAGATAAAAATTGACATTTCCAAAGACAAAGAAAATAGAGAGGCATGCTGGGAAAAATGCTACAATCACACCAGGACTATTTTTGCTGGAGAAAATGAAGCCAATTTACAAGATTTACAAGTACTAAGATTTTAAATAGATTTTAATGATTTTAAATATTTTTAATAAACAATTCTTAATAGGTATGAAAGTGTAAGAAAATATTAATTTGTACAAAAGTTTTAATTCTTTAAGTCAATTTTGAAAGAAAGTGAGAAGAGTGCATTAGAAAAGTTTTGGTAGACTAAATACAAAAGAAATGTTGTGGTAGATTACATGCAACAATATAAGTGTCCTACCAATAGCAATTTATACTGACGAACAAAGCCAAGCCAGCACCTAAAAACTCAACCAGTTGACTTAAGTTACCAAAACCTGCTTAAGAAACATAGAAGTGTCACACTCCGTAGAAAACAGGCTGGAAGAGAAACACACTCCTGAATGAAACAGACGGATAAAGTTAATTTGTTATTCTTTAGCATACTTGAACCTCTTGGTCTGTTATTTGCTTCTTTTTTTTCTTTACGCTTGTGTGATAACATCTCCAGTCTGGACTCATCTTACAGTACGGCCTGACGCCTGACTGATCTCGTCTACCTCAGATCAAAATCACAATGTGGGTAGGTTAGACTTGAGATTGAAGCACTTACTTCGGTAACCAGATGCTGGAAGTGAGCTGGGAACAATGAAGCTTGTATTGAACCGGTTGCAGCTGGTGTGAAGCCGTTAGCATTGACTGACCATCCCACTCGGTACCCTGACCAAAGGATTCTGCCAGGTAGCGACGACTAGGATTCAACACGGGACTGGCCTGTGTCACATATTGGTACCCTGACCAAGGGATTCTGCAGGATAGTGATGACCACCGATCAACTGGGACACAGGCTGAAGGCAGTGACTAAGAGTCAACCCTAAAACACCGGTGGGAGAAACATTACATACAATAAACTGGGAGTTGACCACGGGCTGACAGCTCAGTGTCACAACATTGTAGTGTTCAGGAATGCATCCATACAGAGATCTGTTCCAGAAAGTGGTAGTTCTTGGGAAAAATTATGCCCGGGCAGAAGTTTCCTCTTATATTTGGAATACGGAGGAAATGTGGGTGATTTGATTCCGTGGACGTATCAAGGTGTGTCTTAGTTGCAAAGGTATGAACTAAACTAGTGGAATAAAAGAATGGAGCTCTTCTGAACATTTGTGACAGTGTAGTGATTTGTTTGCACCATTGCATCTATGACAAAGATGCAGCAGAGTGGAAAATAAGTCCATTTTATAATCTAACTAGCAGCAGAACCCGGCTTTGCCCAGGGATGTAACAGTAAGAGATAGATCAAGTATCGACCATCATAAAGACTGAAAAATAAAATTGACAAAGATTATTGTTTAAGGTTGATGGACACAAATGTCTTAATTAGTTTTTTTGTTTTTTTTACGAATTGGTCAAACCCAAACTCAAACAAAAACATTGTTTTCAATCGTTATGAGTCTATCGATTAAATAGAATTTTATTATAAACAATTGTCTTGTAAATGGAATTTTTAAAGCATTCTGAATGTAAAAATAAAGAAAAATATGTGCAAGACAATGAGAAACACTACCTGCCAAAAAAAAGTGAAGTTTTGTTTAAATCGGTTGAAAAATGTAGGAAATCCGATCCCATATATAAACGAACATACACACACACGAACAACCTGGGTTTTATAAGTATAACTTGATATGAGTTGTCCCCCTATCATTCTGGCGACATAATTGTCTTTTATTGTGTTTTCAAATCGTTTTCATGCAAAAACAATTGTGTTTTTCCAGTTTTTGGCGCTGTCAGAACCACCGCACGGTAATTTTACGCAGTCCTGTGAAGTTTTGTTGAAATCGGTTGAAAAATGTAGGAAATCCGATCCAATATATAAACGTACAGACACACACACACACACACACAATCTGCGTTTTATAATAAGTAAGATTAGTGCTTAGTAATTTTATAAAATAGTTAGCAAATACCTAGTACTATTTCCAAACGAGTGTAGATATACAGTCAATGACAAAATTATTCGTACACCCATTAATTTTGAATATTTTCATCCATTTCTCAGAATCTAATGACCATATGATGCTAGTTTTTTTTTTTTATATTTTAATAAGCACACACAAAAAAAAAGGAATATAAAACTCAATTTTCAGAATAATAGGTTAAATACAACAAATTGCTGGAATTTTGAACAAACCCCTTTATTCAATCCACGTTCCATTAATGTTAATGTCGAGGGATATTTCTGCCTTTTTGTCCACTGAATCAGGACTACCTAATACATGGATTGAACTCACAACTGCCAGAGAGCTATAAATGTTCTGAGCAAGGTCTTAATCAACAAAATCATGTGTAAAGATAGATAATTGATAACTTTGATAGAACAGTAAAAAAAGCAACTTGCTACAATTAATCTAGAACATACTTCTATGTGCCATAGAATGAGTGATCATGCCTCTCCACATCTTCCTACCCTTTGTAGCTTTTAGTAAATTTTGTCTTTTCACTATCACACCAACGCTTTCCATAAACTCATTAGGTAGGTTACTTGCCATTTCCTTCTGTCGCTCTTGCTTTCAATATGTCCTGTGAGTGTTAAATTTTCTAAGCCCTCTTTCCTCATTATGTGTCCCAGAAATTTCAGCTGTCTCTGATTTTGAGTAAAGAATCCTTTTTGTTTCCAATTTTCCCACTGAAAACTTCCTCGTTACTCACATGTTCTGTCTATGGGAATCCCAATATGACACAGAGAAATTAATGCGAGAAATAATTTGGGTCAAGTGAATAGCAAATATGCACGAATGTGAATAACAGTGAACTGGAAAGAGGTGATTTTGTAGCATTCGCTTTCACACAAATACCCTTGAGAAGGGTATGAATCCACCCTAGCCTCAGCTATGGATTAAATACAGGGCTGACTGTGCTCTTTTTCTTGAGGTGGCAATGAGACAAGGAGAAGGAAAGCTTTGAATTAAAAAAAAAAAAAAAGACGAATAGGCTCCGTCCGGCTATTTTGGCCCTAGAAATGTCACTGCTGCAGTACATGTGGTGCCCCTAAGGAAGGGGACATGATGACGACAAGGTATATGTCATGACATTTCTTTGTGAACTATGTCTTGAGGAGAGTACAAATCTTTGCATTCTTCCCCCCATCTCCAAAAAAAACAAAAAAACAAAAAAAAAAAAACAACTCATTTAACCAACCTGCCAGATTAATTGGGACAGTGTATAAATCTTGCTCTCCTGTGCGCCAATAATTTTCCTCTGTGGTAAGCATCTGATAGAGAGGGGCATCTCCCGAGGTTGTTGGAGTGAGGAGCAGGTCGATGCCACTGGAAAATACTTTCATGTAGTCATCTCGGATCAAACGTCGAACTTGCATAGCTTTCAACACATACTGGTCATAATTACTGGAAGAGAAAAAAAAAAAAACAATTAATTAAAATGACAATATTATAAACAAAAAGAAAACAAATTTCTGTCAGGAACACTTGCCTTCATTCCTGACCATTGACAATCCCTTTCTTCTTGACTTTCAATGTATTCCTATAGTAAAATCAGTAGCAATGCATTTACTTTATACAGGGAGTAGCAGAAATACATGCCACGTAATGGTTTGGTTTGTTTAATGGCATATCAACACCTTATGGGTCATTTAATGTTGAAATTTAATTTTCTTGGTAGTTTTAATTTTTTTTCCCCCACCCCTAAAATGTATTGTTAGTAATTTTTTCTAATGTATTTTTATATTTTCATGTTTTGACCTCAGTTTCGGAGTTCTCACTATTTGTCTAGAGCTGGGATCCTAACAGGTGCTGCCACCCCAGATCAGGGGTGCTGAACAACAGCAATTAAGAGGTGGTTCCACACTCCTCAAAACCTCCCTGCTACTAGATGAGGCTTATCATCATACCCAGGATGATCCCACATAATGGTAACACTAGCTAGATGAAGACACCATTAGCGTGAATGTTTTACCATTATATGGGAGGTATTTCTGCTGTACATTGTACATTTTATAGCCCTATTCTATCAGTAATGCTTGTCTTCATTCCTGACCCCAGACAATCCTTTTCTTGTTGATTTTCAATGTACATCATACTGATTAAAACAAATTTTAGGTGAAAAAAAAAATAAAAAAAATTTTTTCCCTATTTTTTTTTTTGTCTATATTTCTGAGATGAGGTATTATGTATACTATTTACATTATTCAGACTATTGTCCTCATCTTTGTTGTCATATTTATTACAGCGTTTCGGCTGTTGCATGCTCCGGACTTCTTCAAGTAGTTGAACTGAACCCTTTATTTCGCTCACTGGGGTAGACTGTTCTAGTTCCACGTGCCATGTCTAATGGATGTGTTTTTTTTTTTGTTTTTTTTTTTTTATTCACCCGTTTTTTAAAAATTTTGCCTATCCCCAGAAATATTTTATTTGCTTTTAATAAAAATTACGTAAATCTAAGTTATGGTTTTTTTGAGCACTGATGCAACAGTGGGCTGCAATAACAGAAGCCAAAAATATGTGGTTGTGTCACTATGTAATTATGAATGTGGAGGAAAAGTGTGGCATTTATTAAAACATCTCATTTTAATAATCTCCATGCTGTCTGTCTGAATAATGTGATAAAAAAACAAAACAAAATAAGATACACTCATTTGAGATTGAAAAAAGAACTGCCATGCCACACATATTGTAACAAATCACCTTCATTTCCTTTGTATGCTATTGAGCAGATTCTTACCATGAACTGCTGCTTTCTGGAACTGACTCCCAAAAAGATGCTTCCCCAATCACTACAATTTTAAGGGGTATAAGTCTTAGGTTAACTGTTATCTTGCCCAAACCACATAAACCATACCTCTTACTCTGTAACCCTCTACCTTGAGACACTCTCGGGCCTTGTACCTCTGTATCTCTACAGAAATTCATGACTTTTTTTTAAGCAATAACCCCAAGCAAGGCAAGAGTGCCACTAGCACACAAGGGGTTACAGATGATTGAGAACAAGAGAAATGATGAGTATTTGAGGAAAGGATACAGACAAGAATGTGGGGAACAAGATCAAGATATCAGAAGATGTCGATTGACATTACACTTGAATATTTGAAGATTATAGTTATCAGGGAAGCAAGCAAAAGGAAGGTAATTACACAGACGGGAAGTGTGAGAGAAGCTGTTGGAGTAGAAGAGACGGTTACATTTAACCGTTTTGACAGTGGAAGGGTGGGACCGAGATGCCAGCCTAGTAGCTTGCTTAAATTCACGCAGTCTGGGAACCAGTGAAAGTAGCTCGTTGGAACAGTTGCCGTGAAAATACTTGTAGAAGAGACAGAGGGAAGCCATGGAACGTCTGTGAGAAAGTGATAGTAGATGAGATGCCAGATCAGGACCTATTGGATTGCATATTCGTCTCTGGATTTTGTTGAGGACCTTGAGATGTACAGCAGGAACACCAGACCATTTGTTTTGTTGTATTTAAATTTTTTTTATATATTTTATATTTCCTTATAACTGATGTATTTTTTCTAACATTCCCAGAGCAAGAGAAGACGTAAGTCAACATAGGAAAAATAAATTTTATTAACAACTGAAAAATGTTAAATGCATGCATAGTACTGGAATGAGAAAAAAAAAAAATTAAATTCGTTGCAGTGGGCGAAAAAGCAAATTAGTAAATAAACAGAACAATGAAAAAAAAAAAAAAAAAATTGGTACATCTGTTACAGTTATATTAATAGTTTATCACCTGTAGCTCAATGTGTCGGAAAAAAGAAAATAGAATACTACACATGATCTATTGTCAACAGATAGAAATAGTTTATTTTTTAACATACCCTACAAAACAAACCGGCCCAACAGAATCAACATTGCATTGTTTATTTCCAGTTTTAACAAAAATTAATAAAAATCCATTTTTTCTGGTTAGTGCAGCATATGTCACACGTTTCTCATATCCAATAAATCCGATCTAATTTATCCCAGAGAATGCTCTGAAAGTAATGCCTCCTATTTCTTTCCACAGAAGCTACAATAGATACAGAGAGCAAAATAACACCACTGGATAGAGCAAGTTTTCAGTTACAAAACACTATTTTTCCACATCACCATTTGTTATGCATTTTCACTCTGAAAGTATTTCTATAGCAACTACAACGGACACTGGGAGCACAATAACACCAATGGATAGAACAAGTTTGCAGCTACAAATCTATCTTTCCACATAGCCACTGACTATGGCATTTTTATTCTGAAAATAATGTCCATATTTATTTCTGCAGAAACTACAGGGTGTGCAATACAACCACTGGACATGACAAGTTTTCAGCTGCAAAACACTAGCTTCCCTATCAAGGCTGAAAAATACAGTATACCCTATTATTTATAAGAGTTAATTAAGGAATTGTCCTTTTCTTAGACTGATTGCTCTACCAAGACTAAAGAATTAAGTATGCCCTATTATTATGGTCTGAATTCAGAATTGCTTTCTCCTGAATTGGTTGCCCAATGTTAAAGAGCCCAGTCTGCCTTATTATTTAAGAGGGTTTTAATTCAGAGTTTTCCTGGACTGGTGCTAAATAATCCAGTTATTTAACAGGTCCTGTTTTGTTATACCTATATCCTAAATAAATAACTATATCTCTCTCTCTATATATATATATATATATATATTTATTAAGAAATGGACAAGGTCCGACAATTTATTTATTAAAGACATTTTTATGTTTAACGTTGTTTTTTATAGATACAAGTATTTAAACAGAGCATTTACTTAAATACTTGTATCTATAAAAACAACGTTCGCTAAAAAATGTCTTTAATATATATATATATATATATATATATATATATATATATATATATATATATATATACATCCTATTATTTTCAAAGGTTTTAATTTAGTTTCCTTCTCAGAGATTAGTTGCCCTATCAGGGTTAAATACTTTAGTCTATTGTATTATTTACAAGGGTTTGAATTTAGGGGTCATCCTTCAAAACAGCTCAGTCGAGGACTAAAAACCCATTTTATTCTTAAAATTATTTTTTTTAAAAAGGTGATCTTCATTCGGACAAGAAGTTTCCTCTTTTTTTTAATAATCGGTGAATTGCTATGAATATTTTGAAATAGTGGAGTGTTTTCTCATTGCTCAAAAGGAAAACAGGAGAGAGCGAGAGGAAGAAGAAAAACAAAAGAAAAAGAGAGGAATAGGAAGAGAAAAAGAGAGAGAAAGGAAGAGAAAATCAGATCGTTAGGAGGAGAAAATAGAGAGAATTAGGAAGAGAAAATAAGAGTTAAAATGAAGAGGAAAAAAAAAAGAAAGAAATAAAGAAAAAAAAGAGGAGAGATAAAACAAAAAAAGGAGAGAGTGGAGAGACAAAGAGGAGGAGGGAGAGAGGAGGAGGACAAAGAGGAGGAGGAGAGGGAGAGAGACAAAGAGGAGGAGGAGAGAGAGGGAGAGAGACAAAGAGGAGGAGGAGAGAGAGGGAGAGAGACAAAGAGGAGGAGGAGAGAGAGACAAAGAGGAGGAGGAGAGAGAGAGACAAAGAGGAGGAGGAGAGAGAGAGACACAGAATGAGAGAAGAAGAGAGAGAAAATGTAAATTGAGAAAAGGACAGTAAAAGAGAGTTAGGTTGGTTAATTTAACATATTGAACCTTGCTTTTTTTTTTTGTATGGGGCACCCAGTGTGGATCAATTTCACTGTTCACTAGTAACAGTCAACTAAATTTGCTTTGCTAACGATTACCTTATGCAAGGTGCTTGAGAGAGAGAGAGAGGGAGAGAGAAAGAGGAAAGAGAGAGAGAAGGAGGAGGAGGGGAAAAGAAAGAAGAAAGAATAAAAAAAATAAAGAGAGAGAGAGTAAAGAAAAAAAAAGATTTCTTGTTCCTTCCTTGCACAAAGATGTCCCCCCAAAATAACTTTATGCAAAACCTCATCTTACTGGGAAAGGAACAGAAAAAAAAAAATAATATCAGGTAATAATCAATATGATCTACAAAATCCCCCAGTGGGGAGGTATACCCAAACCAGTTGGTTTGTCCAAGCAAGTGCTTGTTAGTTGATCCAAGCAACTGGCCAGTCAACTGCTGACTATTTTGAAATTACCAACTGCATCCTTGGCACAGAGAATTGCCTGATGGCTGTATAGCTAGTGATTGCTTGTGTGCCCCTAAAGAAAATGCCAGGGGATTCCGCTAGTCTGACGCCATGGTAACACACAACCAAGCAACGGGTGGGGCAGGATGAACATTTTATTGGCTGGGTGGGGTCTGTAAAGCTGGGGGTGAGAAAAGTGGTTAATTTTTTAGGCCAATAAGATTTCCTTTTTTTTTTTCCAGAAGCACAACCAGTAGTATAAACTATTTCCTTGCACAACTGTTATATTTCTCTATATGCCAAGAAGTGG